AACCTGGAGGCGCCCGACATTGGCTGGGTCGCCACACTCATCGGCGGCGTGCCGTACAAGAACGGCGATCTGGCAGCGTACGTGTTGGTTGCTGCCCCCCTCTCTTCTCTGCACCCTTCGCCTCTTGCGTCGAAAGCTGATCCCCCCTCCGTTGCCGAGCAGCTCCATCGTGTGGATCCTCGCCACGCTGCTTCTGGTGCCCCTCTTCCTCGTGCGCCTCCTGCGGCGCTCCTCGCTCATCTCCGGCGTGCTCTTCACCATCGCGCTCTTCATGATTGCTATGCTCGCCACGTTTGGGATACGCGCCTACATTTCCAACAACGCGCCCACGACGACGCTGATGATAGTGCGTCGTGGCCCTTTGTCGATGCCCCCCGCCAGCAGGGCAGAACCTGAGCTGATCCCTCTACCCACACCCTGCCTGGAACAGGCCATGAATGCCATGCTGGCTATTATGCCGCCGCTCTTGGTGCGTTGTTCACGTCCCTTCAAGCCTCTCGCAAAAGAGAGCAGCTTGTCTGACCACCTTGCCTCCTGCCTTCGATTCTCTCTCGATCACAGCTCGAGCCTCTGCTCAACCTCCTCGGCCTCTACGCCAAGCAAGGTCAAGCCGGCTCGGGCGTGCCGACGGTGACGAGCGTGCTGCGAGTCTTTAACCTGCTCGCGCTCATTCTCTACGCCGTCGCTGCCGCCTATACCGGCGTCTACCTCTCCGACTGGGAGCGCACGCTGCTGGACCCCAACGCCGTCGGTGCCCTCTCCTCCTTTCCCGACACGGTGCCGAAGCAAGTCGTGCGTCTAGGGCCGATCATCGGCAGCTTCTTCATGCTCGTGGCCATCGCCGGCGGCCTGCTGCTCATTCCCGTCGCGCGCGGCGCGAACGGCTCGATGCGACCCGGCGGCTTTCTGGCGGTGCTGCTGATCCTCATTGGCATCGCCACTTCCTATCGTATCCTCCAATCGCTGCATGCACAGGCTCGTCTCGAGGAAGAGACGACCGGCTCGACGCGCAATCCCTTTGCCGACATCTTCGGCCTCGGCACGTCAAGCTCTGCCTCCTATGACAACGCAAGGCCGCAACCAAACACGTTTCAAAGCATGATGGACGACGTCTATCGTGCGGCGCGCGGCTTCCAGGTGGCGCCCGTGGGCATGTATGAGCCGGCATCGCGAGGCATTGCATGGGCAATGCTGCAGCAGGCCCTCGCAGGCCGAGGTGCTCCTCAAACGCCAATCGTGTTTAATCTCGTCTACATTCTGCCGATGTGGTGCGTACGCCCCCACCACCTGATCTACCACACGACAGGAATCTGGCGCTCAAGAGCTAACCGACGCCCTCACCCCCCCCCCCCCCCTCGGGCGGCCTCCCTCTTTGGCCAAACTCACCACCAGGCTGCAGACGCTGCTGCTCTTCTTTGTCCATGCGCCCGGCGCAAAAAAGCCGCCGCCGGGTGAGGGAGACGCCTGAACTTGCCCTCTCTCTCTCTCTCTCTTCCTCGCATGCATCCCCGTGTGCTCTGGCCCACCGAGGCTTCTTCAAATGAATCATCCCATTCGCCCGTCGTAGCCGCTTGCGTCTCTCTTGCCCCGCTCCGTCGCCACCTCCAACCTGGCCCCTCCCTTCTGCCTTCCGCTACTCTACTTGGCCGCAATGCTTCGATAGCGATCCGTCGCCTCGACCAGGTGATGCGTGATGCCGGGCTCCTTGGCCGAGTGTCCGGCGTCGGGGACGAGGATGAAGTGGGCCTCTGGCATCTGCTTGTGCAGCTCAAACGCCGTGGTGCAGGGGCACACGACGTCGTAGCGCCCTTGCACGATTGTTGTTGGGATATGGCGGATCTGGCGCACATGAGAGAGGAGTGAGTGAGAGGAAGGAAGGGGAAATAGAGAGGGAGGGGGAAGAAGGGGCGTACCTTGTCGACGTTCTCTTGACGCAGCAATTGCCCGTCTTCCATCCAGCCGCGATTCTCGAAGAACGAGCACTCGATCCTCGAGAACGCGAGTGCCCACTGTTTGCGCTTGCAGCGTCAGGTTCTCCGTCTCTCTCTCCGTCGCTTCACCTCGCTTGCAGAGGCACTCACCTTGTCATCCTCTCCCCTCTTCAGATACTCCTGATCCACATACAGCTTGCTCGTGGCGTTCTCCCACGTGCTCCATCTCCTCGCCGCCTCCAGGCGCGTAGGCTCGTCGTCAGACGTCAGACGCTTGTAGTACGCCGCGATCAAGTCTCCCCGCTCTGCCTCGGGGATGTGGTCGCGGTACGGCGCGAACTGCTCCGGGAAGAGATGCGAGGCGCCGTCTTGATAGCTGGGCGGGGGAACGTGAGCGGGGAGGAGGAGAAGAGAGGGCGGAGGATGAAGAACATACAAGAAGAGCAATTCGGATCGACGAAGCGTGAAGATGCCACGCAAGACGAGCGCAAGGACTCGTGCGGGGTGTGTTTGAGCGTATGCGAGCGACCTACGACGGCATCGTCGAGCGTCGCGAGTGTCAGTGTGCACGCTATTCGAGACGCACTAGCGGAAGAGCGATGTGGAGCAGCCAGGCGAGAGAGAGAGAGAGGGAGAGAACGACGCGCAAACGCACAGAGTAGAGCCCCAACTGCCGCCAAACACCAGCCACTTGTCCACGCCAAAGTGCGAGCGCAGCCTCTCGATGTCCGCCACTAGATCCCATGTGGTATTGTGGCGCAGCTCGGCTGTGCTGCAAAGTTGCAATCATCGGTGCGAGCAAAAGCAGGGAGGCAGGTGGGCAGAAAGCAGAGGGAAAGTCAGCTGAGGGGTGAGGTAGGGAGAGGGGAGAGAGAGAGAAAAAGTGAGGGCAACGCACGGAAGACTCTTGCCTGCGCCGCGCTGGTCGAATGTGAGGATGCGGTAGTGCGAAGGATCGAACCATCGCTTTTTGATTTTGCAACAAGACGCCAGCGTCAGCCTGGGCGAGAAAGGGGGCGCGAGGCAAGAGGAGAGGAGAGAGGCAGGGGGGTCGTGGGAGGGCCAGGAGCAGAGACACTCACGCGATCATCGGCACCTGCGCCGCCGCCGGGCCCGCCGTGGAGAAAGACGGCTTGCGAACGAGGGCGAGGCGAGAGGCCGTGAGCCAAAAGACGAAGGGCCGCACAGAAAGGCCTACTGCTCAGAAGCTGGCTGCTGTTGCAGCGTGGGCCTCCTTGTCAGGCGCAGCACGCAGCAGCTCCTCTCTCTCTCTCTCTCTCCCTCTCTCTCTCTCTCTCTCTCTCTCTCTCTCTCTCCTGCCGCCTTGCCCCCCCGCGCGGTCCACCTGGCCGCTTGCTCTGCTTGCCTCGCCGCCGCTCATCAACTCACCAGGCACGCCGTCCTTGCTTCCGCTCCACTCCCAGTGAATCTCATGCTTGACGCCCTCCTTCTCCACACTCGACACGGCCAGGCGCCCCGAGTCGTACGGCTCGAGGGCGGGGTATTGCTTGCGCAGCGTGGCGAGCGCAGAGGAGAGCGAGGCAGGCGCGGTGGCGCGCGAGGTGAGGGAGAGCGAGGCGAGGGAGAGGGACATGGTAGCTGCTGCTGCTGCTGCGAGAGACAGGAGGTGGAGGTGATGGCGCGGACGCAAGCGGTGCACCGAGGCAAGCGGCGGCACATGATGCGCTCCAAGTCGCGCATGCCCCTGACCGCTGAGCTGCGTGCGGCCGCGCCCTACAAGTACTGCGCCCAAGCGCCCCCCCCCCCCCCCCCCCCCCCATCGCGCCGACAAGCTAGGATGTGCTAGAGCTTGACTGTGCAGACCCACCGCGCCTCTACCACATTGCTTGTGCCACCATGTGCAGAGAATGCATTCTGTCACACTCGCCCATCCCACCCTTGCCTTCGCACCTCGGCACCTCGGCACCTCGCTCTCTCTGCTACTCACTGACTCTCACAAACTCCTCCCAGCCAATCACGCCTTCGCCCTTATCATTCTCCCTTAGAATCTTGAGCACCTCTGCCTTTTTCAGGTCGAAGCCCAGCGCGCGCATGGCGACCTTGAGTTCGTGATAGTCGATGGCGCCGTCCTTGTCGGCGTCGAAGAGCTCAAAGGCCTCCTTGATCTCGGCGCGCTGCTCGTCGGAGAGATCGGCGGCCGAGGGCGCAGAGGCCGAGGCGGTGCTGCGCAGAGGAGTCGCAGAGGCTCCACCCACGCGACGCTTCGTCTTGGAGGCGGGCGTGTAGAGCGACATTTGGGTGAGGCGCGAGAGAGAGAAAAGAGGAGAGCGTGAGGGTTGCAAGGAGAGAGAGAGGTGGGAGGGGAGTGAGCGCCGCACAAGGCGCAAGTGCCTTTGCAGCGCGTCGCTTTAATTGGCGTGACGCGTCACAGGTCGCCAGGTGTTGGACGGCGGGCGCCGGCTTCTCGTGCGGGAGGCGCCCGCTTTCGCCTTGCCCTCGACCCGCCGCTGCCCTTGGCGCGGGGGGGCAGATGAACGAGCGCTGAAGCAATTCGTGGGCACGGTGCACAGTCGCGGCATGTGTCGCAGGCAGGCCGAGCCTCTTTTGTCCAGCTTGCTTGCTGCAGGCGCAGCCAGGAGAGCTCAACGGAGCCGGGCACGCCGCGGGCGGCGCGGCGCTGCCTGTACACAGCGCAAGCGTGTGGCCGCCGCGCCGGCCGCGCTGCGCCCCCTGCTGCTGGCACCCAAATGTCAGCCCGACAACTCGACCTCTTGCGACGTCGTGTCTGTCTCGCCCTCAATCTATTCGCCATGTCTCCGCGTCGGCGAACGAAGCGGGCAGGCCAACATCCAAGCAGCCTCTCTTAGCTTGCAGCGTGGCCCGCAGACGCGTGCGACCGCTGGATGTGGCGCCTCGCTCGCGTGTTGCGCTAGCGCCGCTCCAGTGCAGCATCAGGCGTGGAAGAGGCTGCGGGTGCCCTCTTCGTACATCTCGCTCACCACCCCACACGGCCAGTCAGAGTCAGAGTCGCCAAGCGTCATACACGCCCCGCTCATGATGCCGGAGCGGCTGGCGTTGTATACGCATGGCGGCGCCTCTGAAGCAACCCTGCCTCTTTGCGTCGAGCAAAGTAGCCTCGAGTACGAAAGGGTTCCCTCATAAAGGCCGCCTAACTAACAGCAGAGACGGCCTCTCTCGTGTCTCTTCCTCAACCTCTCACCTCCGCCTCATCTCCTTCTCGGCTCTCCCTTCACTTCGGCCCCTCCCATTTTGACTCGACTGGCTCGACCATCTCCTTTCTTCCCGGCTGCTGTGCAGCTCTCTCTCTCTCTCTCTTGCAACCTTTCCTTTCCCTACCTTTGATATCCAGAGCCCCCCCCCCCCCCCCACCCAAAGGCTTCAGCGCAGGCTCTCAAGCTCAAGCTCGAGGCCATGCCGAGCGCTTTGCGCCACCGCGCGCTGCGCACTCTGCTGCTTGGTGCAGGCGCATGGCTGCTGCTGGTCAGCGCTGCTTGCGCCACGCAGCACACCTCGGAGGCTCTGCGCCTCGACAACCTCTCCTCGTCGCCATGGTCTAGCGTCAGCCATGCCGGATTGCAACGGTACGTGGCCCTCCTTGTCCCCTCCCTGCGGGCGGTCTCACCTCTGAAGCCCAATTGCTCCCGCAGTCGCCAGTCCTCAGTCGACGCGCGTCCGCCTCCAGACGCAGTGGCCGCGGCACTCTCCGAGGCAGGCACGCAGTATCCCACCTTGGCCTCCGACGCCGCCACTGCCACACCCACCGACGGCTCGCCGCAGAAGAGTGCGAGTGCAGGCTCTCTTCTCGCCGCGCCAGCAGCGCTCGCTTCGCCTGCCCCGGCGCGGGCAGCGGCGTCGGCGCAGCGCACGGGCGAGGCCGAGGAGCAGCAGCAGCAGCAGCTGAGCGGCCTGCTCGCCGAGATGCCTACTGGCGTGACGGGGCTGTATGGAGGCCAGGCAGGGCTGCCTCTCTCCAGCGTCTCCTCCTCCTTGCTCCTCAGCTCGCGCTTCCTCTCCACGCCCATCCCCACCGCCGCGCCTCTGCCTCTTGCAGCGCGGCAAGAGGCCGAGTTTACCTTCTCGCCCGGCGACGGCGCCGCGCCCCTGACGTTCACCTTCGGCAGCATCGACGCGGCCGTGCCGCCCGCGACGCTGGCCGTGCCGCAGGCAGACGACGGCGGGCGCAGCGGCAACGACGACGCTCCGCCGCTCGACGTCAACAACCTGGAGGCGCCCGACATTGGCTGGGTCGCCACACTCATCGGCGGCGTGCCGTACAAGAACGGCGATCTGGCAGCGTACGTGTTGGTTGCTGCGCCTCTCTCTTCTCTGCACCCTTCGCCTCTTGCGTCGAAAGCTGATCCCCCCTCCGTTGCCGAGCAGCTCCATCGTGTGGATCCTCGCCACGCTGCTTC